ATTAGTTTGTGGACTAGAATCATGAGTGTCTAGGGCAGTGGTTTTCAACCTGTGGGTCACAACGCTTTCACAGGATCACATAGCAGATATCTGCATATCAGATATTTACATTATGACTCAATAACAGTACCAAAACTACAGTTACGAAGTAGCAACGAAATAGTTTTATGGTTGGGGTCAGCACAGCATGAGGAACTGTATTAGAGGGTCACAGCAGCAGGAAGGGGAGAGGTCTAGGGTGCTGATGCTGAGGAACGGTGCTTGGCTTAGGTGGTCTGCATTGTACAGTGGGGTTGCTTTAGTTCGGTTTGTCTCTTATGCAAGTCTTAGCATTTCAAGCAGCTGTGGCTTCTGTTTTCTTTCTGTCTCTACTTGTGATCATTCTTTAGTCAAACCAGGGCATTTACCACTTGAGATCTGTACCCTTTCTTGGTAGGTTGTAAATGCTTATCAAGCCTTTCATGATAGATGTTTTGACCTCAAGTACTGGCCCATTTCCTGGATAATGATTCATTCTGTCATCTGGCTGGCAGAGGCAGCATAGTGGCATTTAAGGTTCTGGAGATGACACATTGGGTGTCCCAGACAGAAACTCAGACAAGAATTTGTATTTAGTTTGAAATAATGTTCCATATACCCCATAATCAATTGGATCTTCCTTTTTATTTGTTCTTGTTTTGTTTAGGGAAGTCTTCCTCTGATAGCCAAGTAATTTTAAAAATAGTAAAGCTAATATTACTTATGTGTGTGAGCACGATGTGTGTAGAGGCAGCTGTCTTCTACCACCTATAAGCGTGTCCCTGAGATAGGCCTCAATCACCAGGCGTGTACCTCAAGCACCTTTGCCTGCTGGGCCATCTCACCAGTCCACCATTTTTTAAAATTTCATTTGCATTGTTTATCTTTCCAAGTATCTGAGTAACTAGTCTGTATTTGGTGATGGGCAGGGAAAGGACTTGGTAGTGCCAACAATAAAGGAAGGTGTGGGGCCTATGACAGTCTAGAATCATGAACCACAGGGAAGAGAGCAAAAGAGGCAAGAGATTGACCGTTTGCTTGCCCTGTTATTTTTCTCTCAAACTCTTAAAAATGGGGGCGAGGTGGTAGGTTTATTTGACATGTTTCAACAAGGAGATCCAGAGGAAACTGATTCTCTGGAAAAGGGAGGGAATTAGGGACAGGCACTCATCGCGTACTACTGCTAGACTAGTAAGTAGCAGGCGTCAAGTTTTAGGCAGAAGTTTGCAATCTGGGCAAGAACTAGTGAGAGTAAACTAGAGTTGCTACAAGAAAGTAGCAAAGCGCCAGTGTTAGGTTGAACCTAGTGCCTGCAGCTTTTGACTTAATTTGTCTTATCTTGAGACATGGATTTGAAGGCTCTGCCCTGGGTCTTGATAATCAGTGATGCACATTTTGGTTTGGTGTGCTCACTCTCTGTTTTATGAGTCATCGTGTAGTACAAGTTGCGGTTTCTCTTTTAACTTAAAAAGGCAGCCAGTGTTAGTTTCTTGTGTATGTGTGCGGCTGGGGGTACAGCTCATGGTAGGGCATACTCAACATAATACTCAGCATGCTTCAGGACTGTGCGTCAGTCAGTCTGGCTCCACCACTTCTAACAAGAGAGTGTATTTGTAAGCTGGGCATGCTGGTAATCCCTACACTGTGCAGCCAGACAAGAGAATCAAAGCAAGGTTGAAGCTAGCCTGGTCTGTGTATTGAGATCCAGGCTATCCAAGACTATAATATCATGAGACCCCCAAAACTAACAAATACCAAAAAAAAAACCCCAAACTAAACCAAACCCAAATATATTTGTAATTATTGAAAGGCTATAATTTTTTTTTTTATTTTATCTCAAGGATTTAGTTTTCTCTCCTTTGGGAGTAGGGATTGTAGGGGAAAGGGACCAGTCAAAGAGACACATCCTGAGCAGAGCCAAAGAAACACACTTTGGCTCTGCAACTAGAACTAAAGAAATGCACCCTGGCCCTAAAATTGGAGCCAAAAGGGCTAAAAAGAACCAGAGAAAGAAACACACTTTGGCCCTGAAAACCAGAGCCAAATCTGACCCTAATCCTGTGCAGAAAACTAACCAATCCTCGAGCAGAGCTCTAGCCAATCTGAGCTCAGCACTAAAATCTGACCAATCCCCACCCTGGAAGCCCTATATAAACTCTGTGTCTGTTCAGCTTGTTGCTGTTCGCGTTACTGGGCTGTCCTCTGCCACTCTAGCAGAGGGCAGCCACTCCTGGATTCTTCCCTCCCAATAAATCCCTTCAATGAGCTTTGGGTGAAGACCTTCTTTTACCGTGGCTGCAGAGCAGAGGCCACCCTGGGCAGAGCAGAGCGATCAGGGCTGTAACACTTCTGCCAGGGAAACCTTCCCTCGGCAGAGCAGAGTTGTTATATTCCGCTCTCTGCTCTCTGCTCTGCTCTCCGCTCTCCACTCTCCCAGAGCAGAGCTGAACTGTAGCAACCTCCTGCTGAGCAAAACTGCTACACTGGGCGAATATCCCCAGCTGGAAGACCCTGTCCTGCCAGAGAGGAGCTGATACACTGGGGAAACCTTTCCCTGAGGCAAGGCTGTAAGCTGCTAAGCTTCCTACAACCTGTGGTGGTCCTTGGCTCCCGAACTCCAGGATACCTTTCCACCTGAGCTGTGTAACACTCAGTATTCTGTGACTCCCGAGTGCCAGAATACCTGTCCTAACCCGATCCGCCCGAAACGCTTACAGGGGTAGGAAGTACTGGGGATTGAAGCTCGGGCCTCATCTACCACTGAACCACAACCCCAGTCCTTTTACTTGCAGTATATGGCCTTAGCACCAGCCCTGGCTCGGCTTTCACAGAACTGTACCACTCTCCAACTGTGGGTGGAATCTACCTCTCTTCCCCTTGAACGTGGGTGGGCTTGAGAATACTGGAACAGTCTGAGTTGGGAAAGGTCAGATGTGGCATGTGAGGCTACGCAGGAAGCATACAGCTTCCTTCTGGCTTGCTCTTTCTGGATGCTTGTTCTTGGGACTCAGTCACATAAAGGCCACATGCAGGTATTCTCATCAACAACCTGACGGGCAGCTGGATGAGTGAGAGCAGCATTCAGATGATTCCAGACAGGCAGTCAGTTCTGCTGCATCTTCTAATTCACAGTCCATAGCTATGAGCGACAGTAAGGGGTTGTTGTTTTAAGTCACTGTGTTCCTGAACATTTTGTTAGGTTGCATTAGATAATTGGTATATTTGGCTCCTAAATATCCATCAAAGGGTAACACATCAAAGATTTTGGGGAAGAAATATGCAAGGAGGCTAGCAGGGTGTGGTGGGCCAGGCCTAGAATCTCAAGCTCTTAGGACACTCAAACAGGATTGTCTAGAGTTTAAGGCTGGCGGGCTACAGAGAGAGCTGCTGTTTCAGAAGCAGCAACAAACCAAGAATGTTCATAGCAATATAAATCTGCAACAATAAGTAAAAATTTTAGGAGAATATTCATAGCATTGTAATCAGTAACAATAAGTAAAACATTTTAAAATAATCTAACAGTAAGAAAATGTTAGCTAAATTATGATACACAGTTTTCATAAATAAAAGTATCTGTTTTCAAAAGAAAACTTTTAATTTCTTTGTAGTCAGTTTTGTTAAAACCAGTTTCAAAATGGGTCAAAGTATATTTACATGTAAATAAAGATGATTAAGAACAACAAAGAACCAGGTGGTGGTGGCACACGCCTTTAATCCCAGCACTCAGGAGGCAGAGGCAGCCGGATCTCTGTGAGTTCAAGACCAGCCTGGTCTAAAAAAAAAAAGAATAAAGAATGTAGGTCTGGGAGTGCAGCTCATCACTAGAGACTTGTGTTGTGGAATATTACTTTAAAGTGTGCTGCATTTGTGTATGCTGTGGAACATTTGTTTTAATGATGCAAAGATGTGTTGCATTCTTTTATGTTGTATTTGTTTAACTCTGTAACGCTGTCTCGAAAAACCAAATAATAGTAAATAATAATTTATTTAACTAATTGGTGTGAAGGTATCAGATTCCCTGAAACTGGAGTTTCAGACAGTAAGCTGCCATGTGAGTGCTGGCAATTGAACCCATGTCTTCTGGAAGAACAGCCAATGCTCATAACCACTGAGACATCTATCTAGCCCCTTTTGGGTGGGGGTTGAGACAGGGGTTCTCTGTATTGTTTTGGAAGCTGTCCTGGAACTTGCTCTGTAGACCAGGCTGGCCTCGAACTGGCAGAGATTCACCTTCTTCTGCCTCCTGAGTGCTGGGACTGAAAGCATGTGCCACCACTGCCCCGAGCTACGTGAACTTTTTATAGTTGCAAAAGAAAACAGTAAAAAATCAAGGCATCAAGTTAGGAGTTTATAACAAAGTTGTAGGTCTTAGATGTTGTCTTAATGAAATTCTTAGCTTTGGGGTTGGTGGAAGCCAACAGCCTGATAAATTAATGCAGCCTAAAGGTTTTGCGTGATAGTTGAAAGTTATGTTAGGACAAACATTGAAAATGAATACTAAATGACTACAGGGCCTTATATTGCCCTAATTTAGCTTTGAACTTTCTTTGTATCTGAGGAACTTCTGTGCCAACCGCCTCTACGTTCCAGGTGATGGATGGGATTACAAGTGAGAGCCACCAAGCCTGTTTTATGTGATACTGGGGATTGAACCCAGGGCTTTGACAATTCAAGGGAAGTACTCCATCAGCTGAACTACATCTTTAGTCATCTCCTTCATCAAAACACACATATTTATTGCATTCATTCATTTGGTTTGCATGTGTGTATATGACATGAATGTGCAGACTTGGGATATGACTTGAACTGTGACTTTCTAAAATTAGAATTACCAATTCTGATACACAATGTATTAGAATTTTTCACATTATTTTAATACTATGAGGTTATGATTGCTTATTAGGTTTAGTTTATTTTAAAAAGTACATTTGTGATTGTTATCTGTGTCTTTAAGAATTTTACATTATTTTTTGTCTTTTTAGCTGTCCCCTTTCCTCCAACCCAACGGCTAACTTTGAAGGAAGTATTTGAGAATGGGAAACCTAAAATGGATGTTTTGAAAAACCATTTGGTCAAAGAAGGCCGGGTGGAAGAGGAGGTGGCCTTAAAGATCATCAATGACGGGGCTGCCATCCTAAGGCAGGAGAAGACTATGCTGGAAGTGGACGCTCCAATCACAGGTAGGACATGCACTCCCATGGTGACCTTAGATACGCACTAATTTTGAAAAATGACTACAAAAAGCCAACTAAAAATGAGTGTGACACATATTTCTAGGAATTTTGAAGCAATCTAGGGATTAGTTAGAAAGACTTTATTCCTTAAAAAACAACATTAGGGGCTCAAGCCTGGTGGTTAAGATCACATACTACTCTTGCAGAGGACCAGATTTTTGTTCCAAATGTCTGTATTATGTGGTTCACAACCATTGTAACTTCGGCTATAGGGAGAATACCACACCTCTGACCTCTGTGGACACCTACACTCATGTACACACACACACACACACACACACACACGCGCGCGCGCGCGCAGGCACGCACACTTAAAAATAAGTATTTTTTTTTAAAGTACACTACTAACTGCATATTGCTAGTAGGGGTGTTTAGTACTGATTGGGTAACTAATTATACAGAAGTCCAGTCAAAAGCCAAAGTGATTAAATTAAAAGTTAAACTTGGTCCCTGTTGCTTTAATGTTGTTTTCCTTCTAATTTATAATTTTCACCTCATGTCTTTCTTACCCAGTGTGTGGTGATATTCATGGACAATTCTTTGACCTGATGAAGTTGTTTGAAGTTGGGGGATCACCTAGTAATACTCGATACCTCTTTCTGGGTGACTATGTGGACAGAGGCTATTTCAGTATAGAGGTAAAATTAACCTGGCTAATAAGATCTGCTCTCCATTCCTTTATAGAAGAGATTTGAGATCTGAACTCTGGCAGAATTTATCCACTTTGTTACAGTTGGAATTTAACTAATGAGAAGTGTTTTAGTATTTTTTAAAATAAAAAAAAAACTTTTTTTAACCCATAGAAAACCTGTCTTATGGAAGGCTGTATTAAGCTAATTTTGAAAATAAGTATCTGCTAAGTTTTTGTCTTTCGAAGATGCTGTCTGGGCATATAGCTTTTCATTCTAAACAGTGTCTGGATTAGCTAACCTTAATGTAAGACTGCAGTTGACTTTAAGGTTAACTTCCTGTGAGAATGCGGCATCAGGGAGCTCCTTTGCAGAAGGATTTCTGATCCTGTGCACATCACAGACAATAGCATTTGTTGGAAGGCAAAACATGAAGTGGAGTTATTAAAACTGACAGTTTCTTTATATATTTTAAGAAATAAGTGATGGGAGCTGGGCAGTGGTGGCACATGCCTTTAATCCCAACATTCAGGAGGCAGAGACAGGTGGAACTCCATGAGTTTGAGCCCAGCCTACTCTACAGAGCCAGTTCCAGGACAGACTCCAAAGCTACAGAGAAACCCTGTCTCAAAAGAAGGAAGAAAGAAAAAGAAAGGAAGGAAGGAAGAGAACATGAGTAGAATTTAAAACAAATATATGTTTTTGTGTGTGAACATAAGATAATTTTAGGACCTAATTCAAACACTGGAATACCATGTAGTTATAAAACATTCATGTTTGACTTTTATCAGTGGATTTACCTCCATAACCTTCACAAGTAAAGGAAACCTTTTTGAGGAAGTCTTCATAATCAAGTTTGTAATATGTCTCAGAAAAAGCTCTAGATGACAGATTCTATGGTGTTTTTGGTGTCTTTAGACTGTGCTCTTCACAGTATGAGAATGTCACTGTACTAGCTTGCTCCTGGTAGAGAGAAGTTTTTCTTCTTCTTCCCATAGCATTGTTCTTAAATTAACTCATCTGCTTTGCCCAGTGTTTAAAGAAGAGTCAGTTCTGAAGTCCCAGGAAGAATGAAGAACAAAATATTTTTATTTTCCTCTTGAATTAAATGGCAGTGTAGGGAGCTAGGGATGCAATTCAGTGGTACAGTGCTTGCCTAGCATGCACAAGGCCTGAGTTTAATTCTCAGCTCTGCAAAGGGGCAGGAGTAGACATTCTAAGTCCAAAAAGTTTAGTTTTATCTGCTATTGCCTCAAATTCATTTAGTGTCAGAATGAGAAGGACAAGGGTTGATGCTATAGATTGAGACAGTAAGTACACCTCACTTCTGTGTCCTGTCCTGCTTATTGGCACTCATGAATGTCCTTAACTAGGTACTGAGACGAGTGGAGGTCATGCTTCTAGACTTTGTCATTGAAAGCCTTCCCTATTACCAGCACATTGTCTCAGTAGGTGGTGGCCCAAAGGGTGGGTGGTTAAAAGTCACACTGGGTTTATTTCTTTATGGGTTTGTTAGCACAAAATGATTTAAGAGGCAAAAGGGAAGAATACAGAATGTTTTCAATTATTTATTCATTGTTTTATTTAAGCAGTGTTTCATGTGACGTAGGCTGGCCTTAAACTTGCTATAAAACTGAGAATGACCTTGAACTTCTGATCCTCCTGTGTCCCTCTGATCCTTGATGTTTATGTCGTGCTGAAGATCAAACCCTGGACTTTGTGTATGCTAGGGAAATGCTCCATCAACTGAGCTACATCCCTATCCCCTAGAACAACTTATTAAACATAAATATTAGAGCTGGAGTGATGATAGCTCAGCTGTTAAGAACACAGACGGCTTTTGCAAAGGATCTGAGTTCAATTCCTAGCACCCACATCTTCTTGTGGCTCACCATCATCTTTAACTCTTAGTCCAGGAAAGGTGAGATGTTTCTGGCCTCCATGAGCAGCTGGTCTCATGTGCACACAGACACAAATAAACGCACAATTGAAAAAATAAAACCTTAAATGTGACAAAATATCTTCTAATTATTTATTACTATCACTTATATAATTTAAAAATAGACTTTAAAGATTTATTTTTATTTAGCTTCTGGGAATTAAACCAAGTTTGAATTTTACTTGAGCAATATCCCCAACCCTTGGACTTTTGTTTTGCTTTGGAGGCAGGTATATTTATGTTCACCAAGTTGGTTTTTCTTTCTTTTGCGATATGGTTTCTCTTTGTAGTCTTGATTGTCTTGGAACTTTCTATGTAGACTAGGTGGTCTTGAATTTCTGCCTCAGCCTCCCAAATAGCTGGAATTACAGGCATATGCCATACTCTGGCTCTAGTTCCTGGTTTTAAAATAGTTTCAATTCATTGATACAATTACTAAATTACATTTTAAAATCCACAATGAGCTTTGTACCTATATACCATTTTCAGGAAATTTTGTTACGTTTTTCCCCTCCTTTATCAATAATTTCCTGAGTGCCGACTTTCTAGCAGGCTGTAGAGATGAAATCAGGACTAAGATTCAGGGGGAGGGTGTCACTCAGCAGTAGAACACTTAAATGAGTTCCTGCGTTCCGTTCCCACGTTCACACAGAAAGAATAGAGTCATAGTCTCTGGCAGAGCTAGCAAAAGATGGGTCTTTCTGTATACACAAGTATTCCTGTAAGTAAAGTATTCCTGTAATTAGCAGTAGTAATCTTCGTATTCAGACCTTCCCAGGGGACCAGTAAGATGGTTTAGTGGGGAAAAGCATTCGCTGTTCTTGCAGAGGACCCAAGTTTGGTTCTCAACACACATATCATGCAGCTCACAACTGCCTGTTACTCCAGCTCCAGAGGATCCAAATAACTCTTGTTTGGGCACCTGTCCTGTGTGCATGTACTTATACATAGGCATACACATACACACGTAATTAAAATTAAGATAAGTCTTAAAGAGCTAGCCTAGTCTCCTGATGCATAATAGGCACCCAGTTTGTTAAGTAAATAAATATTAATAAATTTTAGTTTTTATTTGGGTTTTTTTTGGGGGTTTGAGACAGGGTTTCTCTGTATTGTTTTGGAGGCTGTCCTGGAACTTGCTCTGTAGACCAGGCTGGCCTCAAACTCACAGAGAGCTTTTATTTGTTTTGTTTTGTTTTTTAACTTGACTTTAAAAAAAACATAAATGAATTGAAAGTTTTAGGTACAGTGGTGATTTAATTCTTTTTGTTTTTAAGAATCTATTTACTAGCCAGGCGGTGGTAGTGCACACCTTTAATCCCAGCACTCGGGAGGCAGAGGCAGGCGGATTTTTGTGAGTTCGAGGCCAGGCTGGACCAACAGTCTCCAAAACAATACAGAGAAACCCTGTCTCGTAAAAAAAAAAAAAAAAAAGAATCTATTTACTTTTATTTTATGTGTATAAATATTTTGCCTGAATGTATTTGTGCCCAAGGAGGTCAGAAGATAGCATCAGATCCCTGGAGCTGGTGTTATAGGAGGATGTGAACCCCCATCTGTGGGTCATAGAAACTAAACCCAGGTCCTCTACAAGAACTATAAATGCTCTTAACTGCTGAGCCATCTCTCTCGTCACCACCCCCTTACAGTTTTTAGAGATAGCTTCTTATGTAGCCAAAGTCCAAATTTGTTATGCTAAAGCTAACCTTGGCCTCCCGATGTGCCCGTCTCCACATCCCAGGTGCTGGGAGTATAAGCATAAACCACCCTGTGGATTTTATCGTTAGGACACTGTCTTTACAATTTTCATTTTAGGGGCTAGAAAGATGGCTTAGTGGTTAAGAGCTTACACTCCTCTCGCAGAAGACCTGGTTTCTGTTCCCAGCACCCACAGCAGGTACTCACAACTGCTGTTAACTCCAGCTCCAAGAATTCTGATACCTCATACACACATGCCATACTCTGATGCACATGAACACATAACTTAAAATGTTTTAATTTATTTAAAAAAATTTAATGGGGGGGAGAAGGATGGGGAGGGGAAGAGATAGAGTATGCCACTTGTATACAAGTGCCTGTGGGGTAGAAGAAGGTTTCCTATTTCCTTCGATCTAGAGTTAGAGGCAGTTTTGAGCAGCAAGATGAGGGAGTCGAATAGTGAACTCAGTTCCTCTAAGAGCAGTATGTACTCTGACCTGCTGAATGTCTCTCTAGCCACTGTCTTTATTTTTCATTTTTCTTCTGGAGGTGGAGAAGAAATCCAGTCCCTCACATACTATGGCTATCTGCTGTACTACTGAACAGTACTCTTTTTATCTTATATGTACTTTTTAATATTGTAAGTCCTTCTTTTTAGATTTAACTTATTTTATGAGTATGGGTATTTTACCTGCATGTATGTATGTGTACCACGTGTGTGCAAATGCACACAGAAGCCAGAAGAGGGAGTCAGATCCCTGGGACTAGAGTTAGAGTTGGCTATAAGCCAACATTGGGAGGGAGACTGGGAACTGAATCTGAGTCTTCTGCAAGAGAAGTAAGGGCTCTTAACTACTGACCTGAGTGTCCAGTACCTTGTATGCATTTTTAAAAAGAAAATTAGGACTACCATGGGTATTCCTTTTGTAGTCTTTTTCCATTCAACGTCATATTAAAAGCTTTTTTGTCATTAATTTTTTCTACAATGCATAATTAATGGCATAGACACCATAATTTATTTTTAGTGTTGGATAAATACGCTTGTAGAAAGTTGCTTAGCACCTTTCTCTCCTTCTTCGTTAGTAACAAAACCCCTGTTTTGTTCCAGAAAGAAGGACTAGGATTGCAAGGGGAATTTCAGACTTAAGAAAGACAGACTTTTATCCCAGGCCAGGGAGCAACTTCTGATTGGTCTGAACTTGTTAAGACAAATCCATTTCCTGCTACCTTTGGTTAGCCTAAGGAGAAACATGGCCTCTTCTGCCCACTATCATATAGACAGCTCTCTGGCACTATTATTTCTGTTTGCTTGTCTGTCTTATGCATATCTTTCTATGAAAAGGCTCTGGAAAAGTTAAAACTTTGAGGTTGTTTTACTTTGTTTGATGCAGAATCTCAGAAAGCCCAGACTGGCCTTGACTCACTGTGAAGCCAAGGTGACTTTGAACTACTGCTTCCTCTGTGTTTGCCTTCTGTGCTGTGGGTGCAGGTTAAAGCTTTTGGACATCTATTCCACCCTGTCATTTCCAGGGTGGGTGGTCCTGACTGAGGACTGTGAGGTGGGACTAAGAGTGAATGCAGACCTTTGGTGACTCAGAATGTGAGTAGCAGGAGAGGACCTGGTTCTCTGACAGTGCTGAAACCATCACCAAACATCTGTTTCTCCCCACCATTTGTTGAGAATGTCAAATGGCTTTGTAGTTATTTCCCTGTGTGTGTGTGTGTGTGTGTGTGTGTGTGTGTGTTTACATGCATGCCTATAGAGGTCAAAGGACAACTTGTAGGAGTCCCAAGAATTGAACTCTAGTTGCTGGGGTAGGCAGCAGAGTCTTTAACCCATTGAGTTAAGCCCAGCTAGTTAGATTATGTACCCCTGTACTGAAAATGGCACAAGCTTATTTTCCATTTGTTCTGTACATTGCTAAAGTTAGTGTCTTGTTGAATATATCTTTAAGAAAGATATTACTGTATGGGGATGAGGTGAGTGAGTGTGCATGCTATAGTGCACATATAGAGGTCAGAGGATGACTTTGTGGCATTTGTTATGTCCTTCCACATAAGTTCTCAGAATTGAACTCAAGTCACCAGATTTACACAGCAAGCTCTCTTACCCATTTTACTTTACTTTACTTTACTTTAATCAATCTTTAATAGCATGTTGGACTTTTCCTTAAATAGATTTATTTATTTATTTATCTATTGGTTTTGCAAAACAAAGTTTCTCTGTAACTTTGGAGGCTGTGGAACTGCTCTGTAGACCAGGCTGGCCTCAAACTCATAGAGATCTTCCTGCCTCTGCCTCCAGAGTGCACCACCACCTCCCAGATTTGTTTGTTTTGTCCAAAAAGAAGGACTTACAATACTAAAAATTACATATAAATATATTCTGGCTCGGGAGACTTTGAGAGGATAGCAAAGCCATGTTTGCATCTTGGAACAATTACTCTGACAATGTGGTGAACTGACTGCATGAGTCAATGTAGAGACCTCGGTTAGGGATCATAGTATAGTTGAGTCCTTGTGTCTGAATGCTTGAGACCAGATGTGTTTCCTATTGCAGATGTTTTCAGGTATTAAAGCATTTGCATAGACTTTACCAGTGGAGCATCCCTCATCCAAAAGTAATCTGAAATACTCCAAAGTTACCTCTTAGAGTATTGTGTTGGCACTCACAGTTTCAGATTTTGGAGTATTTCAGATTTTGGAATTTGATAATCAATCTGTAATATGGATAAGAGATACCAGTAACAGACAAAACAGTTTACACAGTTCTTTCTCATTCTTTTTTTTATAGTGTCATGGTGTTGCTTAGTGTGTGTGGGGGTTATTGTAGTAATATTTATGATTTACTAAAGCTTGCCTGTGGGCACAGAAAGCAAAGCTAACCACAAGCATAGAGCCAGACAATGGTGATACACACCTTTAATCCCAGCAGCCATACTAGCTAGCCATTGAACCAGGCGATGGTGGCATACACCTTTAATCCCAGGACTCAAGAGGCAAGCAAATGGATCTCTGTTAGTTCAAGGCCACACTGAGCTACATGAAATTGATCCACTCCTAAAGAGAAACAGCTCACACAAAGGTGATCTCGGCACTTGGGATCATACGTCTTTAAATTCCAGGATTTGAGAGGTATAAAAGGAAGAGGCAGCAGTCTGCAATTGCAGTCTGAGACTTGGTGGAGACAGGATTGCAATCTGAGACTTGGTGAAGACAGGATTGCAGTCTGAGACGTGGTGGAGACAGGATTGCAGTCTGAGGCTTGGTGGAGACAGGATTGTAGTCTGAGGCTTGGTGGAGACAGGATTGCAGTCTGAGACTTGGTGGAGACAGGATTGCAGTCTGAGACGTGGTGGAGACAGGATTGCAGTCTGAGGCTTGGTGGAGACAGGATTGTAGTCTGAGGCTTGGTGGGGAGATTTATTCTCCAGCCACGCTGAGGAGAGGAAAGCCCTTTAAACCTGAGATAGAGGTAAGAGCTAGTGACTGACTGCTTTGCTTTTCTGATCTTCAGCTTGAAGCTTGAACCCCAATATCAGTTTCTGGGTTTTTATTTTTCATGTTATAAGTTATTGCCAATATTGTGCTTTGACAATGCTGTAGCATGTGTATGTATTTTCATATTGGTGGAAATACATGACTTAAAAATGGGTCAAGAGTTAGGTAAATAATGTAGTTTTGCTAGTTTTTGCTGCATTCTCTTTACCATGCAAGTTCTTTGCTTGTTTCAGGTCTATTTATTTTATGTATATTAATGTTGACCAGCATGCATATGTGTGCACCATGTATGTGCCTGGTACCCAGAGGTCAGAAGAGGGCAACAGATAACCTATAACTGGAGTTACAGATGGTTGTCAATCACCCTATGGGTGCTGGGAACTTAGCCCAGGTCCTCTGGAAGAGCAATGAGTGCTTTTACTGCCATCTTTCCAGCCCCACTGAACCTTCCTTTTTACATAGTGAAATACATCTATCTTTTCTTGCCTTTGGATCTCTTATCATTAAAATTTCTCTGCTTCAGCCATGCATCCTTCTAGAACTTCTTTTCAATTCTTAGATCACTTGTTCATTAGTCACTTGTTAGGTGCTATGTAACATTAGAGCTAACTTTATGTTTTTAAAATAGTTACCCCAGTGATCTTACATTTCATTTTTTTCCGTTTTTATGAGACAAGATTTTATACTGTAGCACAGGCTAGCCTCCAATTCAAGGCAGTCCTCCTGCTTTAGCCTACTCAGCACTGGGATTCCAGGCATGAGCTGCCATGCACAGCTTTCACGTGGTGACTTGAGATGCCACCTTCGTTGTGTACAGATGTTCATATGAGCTTGCATCTGTCTCTGGACTGTGATAAATCACTGGTGTACTGTAGCATCTGGTAGGACACAGGTTCTTTATTTTATTTTGAATGAGCTTAGTTTTTATTATGTCACCAGGCTGGTCTAGAACTCCTTATGTAGTCTAACCTAGCATTGAATCCATTATTCTTTTGCCTGAGTACAGAGATGACAGGCCTATACTACCATGTGTGGCTCAGAACATTGTGCTTTTGATTTTTGAATCAGTGTGTCACGTAGCCTAAGCTGCTTCAACTTACTGTGTAGCCAAGGTTGACCTGGACCTACTGGTTCCTTACAGATTCTTCTGCTTCCGCCTCTCAAGTGCTAGTGTTATGGGTGTGGGACATTATGTTTTGTGTGTGGGTGCTGGGGTTAGAATGCAGAACCTTGTGTGTGCTAAGCAGACACTCTACCAACTGAGCTGTACCGCTAGCTTTTTGTTGCCGTTCTAAATGTAACTTTTATACCTTGGTCCCTATTTCATACTTTTATATAAAAGCTTGTTCATGTATGTATTGATTTTATATCCTGTTTGACTAAATCCTTCTATTTAGGCTGCTTTTATTATTGGTTTTTCTGGGGTTGTTTTTTCAGTTATAAAATTATATCTTCTGCACATAATGATACTTTTAATTTTTCTTTCACCCATTCTGAAGCTTTTACTTGATTTCATTTGTCTAATTATATTGGCTAACACCTCTATTGTAACATTGAACAGCATCAGATAGTTAATATGCTTGCCTTGTTTCTGGTTCTAATGTTTTTCCATTATAATATAATGATGCAGATTTTAGGACTATAATATGTATGTGAATAGCTTTGCCCAGAGAGTTCTCAGTATATAGATACTTGGGAGAGTTTTTATGTAAGGCTATTTATTCCATCAAATTTAAGGGTAACATGCAAAAACTAGAAGATTACATTTTTCAATTTGGGGGGCTTACAGTGAGATATACCATATAGTACATCATTTTGATTTAGTTAAATCGTCTTTATGTATTGTCACGGTCATGAAGAACGTTATCCTTTAATTGTGTCTCCTAGTGTGTGCTGTATTTATGGAGTTTAAAGATTAACCATCCTAAAACATTGTTTCTGCTTCGAGGAAATCATGAATGCAGGCATCTTACAGAGTACTTCACCTTCAAACAGGAATGTAAGTATACATCTTTAGGGGATGTTTAGTTATCTCATGTGCTGCCATGCTCAGTTAAGATCATACCTTCAAAATGAAAAAGAAAATTAAGTCAGGTTTGGTGGCTCTTGCCTGAAACTCCATTATGTGGAAGGCTGAAGCAGAAGATCCACCGAAAGCTTGAAGCCAGCTTGGGCTATAGAGTAAGACTCTGCCTAGAAGAAAACGAAAACTTAGGTACTCCTGCACTGCTTATTCATCGTCCATGCATCACTTTACTGATAGATTGGTCTCCATATGTCATATTGAGTCTTGTTGCCAGTAGTGTTCTGTATTGGGCATGGGGGTGGTTATAATGGCAGCCTTCCTCTCAAGAGAGCCTGAAAGGAAAGGTCAGAGTTATTAAAAGAAGTAGTAAGCCAGGTTTAGTGGTCATGTCTGTAATCCCAACACAAGAGGATTAGGAATTCAAGGCCAGCCTTGGCTACATGGTGAATTCAAGGTCAGTTTGGGCTACATGAAACCCTCTCTCAAAAAACAAAACACAAAGAAACCAAAAATTTGATCAGACACTAAAGTCTGTTGCAATTAAAGGATCTTCGGATCATTCCAGCCCTAGAAACTTAACTGAAATAAACACACCATCAGATACTGACCAGGAAATTAGATTTACTCTTGGGAGTTTTTTGAGTGTTGTCAAGTGTTTAGACAACAACTTTGCAATATTTGTGAAGATTGCAGGTCCACATTCCCTCAGAATTTTGACTTGTCAAAGTGTGTCCTGCAGCCTGCACACTGCTGCTAAAGCTCTGTCAGGAGTTTAGTGAGCTCACACATGTGTCATGTCACATTTAGCATGGGCAGAAGTCTGGATTCTCGTACGCTTTGCTCAGCTGAGGTCATGGGATTGTGAGGATTGTGAGAGTCTTCCTGTGAGGTCACTAGTTGTTTTGAGCCCTTGCTCTTTATTTTTCCAGCTAGACTGCTTCCAGGCTTTTGACACACTGTTCCCATAGGTAGTTCCTAGTGTAGATGTTGGCTTTCTTCTGGCCCAGCCTGCATGAGTCTCTGACTTATGGAGGAAACCTCTGCTCTCTAAAGGTCTGTGTGCTTAGGCCATGTCCATCCAGGAGAATCTCCCCTTTACCATCCAGTGAAGTGTAACAGTGAGAGGCTCATCGTAGGCAGAGTTTCCACAGACTCATTATACCAAGTGGAAGTCACGGGAGTCGTGTTACAGTTTGCCCAACATAGGTGGATGGATGAAAACCAGTAAGATACTTGCTGCTTTTATGGGATGGGAGTTCAAGACAGGGTTTCTCTATGTAGCCTTATCTGTCCCGCAACTCTGTAGACCAGGCTGGCCTCAAACTCATAGAGATCCACCTGTCTCTGCCTCCCAAGTGCTGGGATTAAAGGCGTGTGCCACCACCACCCAGCAGATGTTTTTTGAGGATGTTCATTTCAGTGTTGATTATAACAATAAAAGATAATTGTCAATAAAAGGCCAATTAAATATATTATGTTAGTATTAGAGATGGGGCCTGGGAGTGTAGCTGTCAGAAGAGTATTTTTGTGGAGTCCAATCTTTCCTTCTACCTTTATGTGGGTTCCTATGATTAAACTCAGGTCCTTAGGCTTACACAAGTACTTTACCTGCTGAGTTATCTTTCTAGCCCCCAAAATATTTTTAAAGCAATGCTAGACCACTGTTTAAATATTAAGGGATCTATATGCGCTATCTAGAGAGATGTTCAGAGGCTGTTAGCTGAGAGAAACCATTTGCTGATGGCGCACACTATGTGCAGAAGAAATTGGCATCAGGGTTTACTTCTGTGGTTTTTGCTGGGTCAGAAGGTCTTATTTTACTCTCTAGTACTATTTGAATTATCTTTTTGTCACCATTATGTACTACTCTTGTGATTTTTTTTTTTGAAGCTGCTAATTTTAAAATTACTTGATTGGGGACCAAGTATCTGAAGGGTTTTTTATTTGTTTTGTTTTCTTTTTAAAGATTTGTTATGTATACAGTGTTCTGTCTGCATGTTTGCATGCACACTAGAAGAGGGCACCCTATCTCATTTTAGATGACTGTGAGCCACTATGTGGTTGCTGGGAATTGAACTCAGGACCTCTGGAAGAGCAGTTAATGCTCTTAACCTCTGAGCCATCTCTCCAGCCCCTTGTTTTGTTTTGTTTTACGAGACAGGGTTTCTCTGTATTGTTTTGGAGGCTCTCAGTCCAGCCCGGCCTCGAACTCACAGAGATCGGCCTGCCTCTTTCTTCCTAGTGCTAGGATTAAAGGCATGCGCCACCACTGCCCGGCTGTTTTGTTTTCTTAAAGGTGTGATCCTGCTACGTAGTCCTTGCCTCAAACTCCCTAGAGAGACAAGGCTGTCCTCAAACCTCATAGGTCCTGTAGCCTCTCCACTAGATGTATGCCGCCACTTCTGGCTCCTGGAGGCTGCTGTTGTCATTTTTGTCTTTGTGTTTTAAGGCTGGGGGATGCTTCAATGGTAGAACACGTGAAAGACCCTGACCTCAACACCATAAATACATCTGGGGGGGTTCGAGACAGGGTTTCTCTGTGGCTTTGAAGGCTGTCCTGGAACTAGCTCTTGTAGACCAGGCTAGTCTCAAACTCACAGAGATCCACCTGCCTCTGCCTCCCGAGTGCTGGGATTAAAGGCGTGCGCCACCACTGCCCGGCTATAAGTAAATATTTTTTAACACTTGTTTTTATTTTGTGTGTGTATGTGGGGTGAGCATGTCCTGGCTTGTGTGGAGAGGCCCTTGAGTCGATTCCCTCCCTGTGTGAGTCTCGAGGGTTGAATTCAGTGTGTCCCCTCAGCCATCTCACTGGCTCATAAGTATGTTTTTGAAGCACTCCTAGTAACTCTGCTGTATGCTGTTGGTTAAGAATGACTGCGGGGCCAGTGAGATGGTTGCGCACTTGCTCCTGAGCCTGGTGACCTGAGTTCAGTGCCCAGGAAGCAGAATGGATTCCTTGAGAGCTGTCCTCTGACCTCCACATTTGTGACATTATGTATCTATGTATGTATGTATGTATGTGCATGTGCACACACAATGTGAGAGAAATAAAAATAACTCTGCCAGTGTCTGAAAACCTCCTACTCTCTGTCACCTTCATCTACTTTTAAGATTTTGAAGTACTTTGTAGTTCTTGCCTAGAAAATTAAATATGTATAAAACAGCCAATAAAGGCCCTGGAATGTGCATGATGGAAGTCAGCTACTTGTACTCAGAATTAAGTGAGCGGCAAGAAAATTGTCTGTGGATGCCCTGTTTTGAGTGAAGTGGGTGTGGTGATTTAGGTTTTGATAGAGGGTCCTCTGTATTGCCCAGGCTCAGGCTTTTTGTTTGGTTTGGAGAGACATTTACTGTAATTTTCCCACCTATCCTCCCCTTTTAAACAAAAGTTTTGGTTTGTTCTTTTGTGGGTTTTGGTGCTGGAGAGTGAAGTAGATTTCTTTTTCGGTCAGCATAATTGGTTCTATTTATAGAAGCTAGAACAATAGGCTCAGGAAATGCTTTAATCATCCTATTTTGCCCAGAGTTTCTTACTTTGTGTCTCTGTTTGCTTTCAGTGTGCTTCTAGCTATACTTGAGGCCAGTTACTAGTCTCCTGTGTAGTATCTCCCATTTCATTCTAATGCTGCATGGAAGATGCAAGTAAATCTTGGAGCAAGCATACACACTAAAGTACAAATATAAATGCGACTCCTGTATAAGGAAAGAGCATGTGTGTGTTGCATGGGTGTTCACTGATAAGCTGATCTTGCCTATGGCCATTGTGACTGTTAGAATCAGAGCTGTATAATTAATGCTGGGAGACATCAGTTGCAGAGTGTGCAACTGCAAGCTTGTTACTGTTTTTAAGGAGGGTGGACGGAAGCTTTTCTTGTCTCATATCAATGTGAGTGTGTGTGATTTAGACAGTTCTATTTTTACTTTTTACTTTGAGACAGAGTCTAAGTTCCCCAGGTTGGCCTTGTATTTAAACTCCTAGCTGGCTGGGATTACAGACCTGTGTCACTAGGCCTGCATCACATTCACTCGAAGATTTAATTTTGTTTTGAGGCAGGCCAGGTTTAGCCCTGCTTGTCCTGTTACTCACTCTGTAGACCAGGCTGACACTGAACTTACAGACATCCACCTGTCACTGCCTCCCAAGTGCTGGGATTAAAGGCGTGCACCAGCACTGCTCAGGTGGGAGAGGTGGTTTGGTTTGGTTTGGTTTGGTTTTGGTTTTTTTCAGATAGGGTTTCTCTGTATTGTTTTGGAGGCTGTCCTGGCACTCGCTCTGTAGACCAGGCTGGCCTCGAACTCACAGAGATCTGCCTGCCTCTGCCTCCCGAGTGCTGGGAGTAAATGTGTGCGCCACCAACGCCCGGTGGGAGAGGTGTTTTTAAGACGGGTTTGTTAGGCTGCCCAGGCTTGCCTTGAGTTTGCTGTGTACTCCCTGCTGGCTTCAAACTCTCACTGAGCCTCCTGCCTCATCCTCCTGAGATCACAAGCATGTGCTACCATGCCTGGCTAACAGTTAATTTCTTACATACCGTCTTCTTATTGTTATGTACTAAGCAAGAAGCTTAGTGTATTGCTCTTATCTCATAGTTTTGGGTCAAGAATTCTCAAGTGGATTAGTTTGTTGTTTCATGAACTGTTTTTTTTTTTTCTTGGCTTATTGACAAGTTCTAGAAACTTTTGCAATTTTCTAATAAAAACAGTACTATTATAACAGATTTTTAAAGAACAAGTACTGTTCTCTGCAGCATTATTTAGAGTAGCCGATTGGCCTGGTTAGTTTGTTTTTCTTTTTAATTACTAAGCTGCTCTTAAAAGAACCACAAAATTTTGCCTTACCCTCAGGATTTTTTAGCTATGCTGGAAAATTCAGTTGACTCAGCGAGACACACACCTTTAATTGTAGCACAGGAGGCAGGGGCAAGTCGATCTCTAGTGAGATGGGAGGATACAGAGAGGGGGAAGACAGAGACGGGGAATCTTCAGTGAATGCAAATAAAAATTAAGAAAATATATGTTTGATGGCTAGACAGGTTGTGGTTTCTTATAAATGATGCTGACCCTCAGAACTTTTCCTAGAATTCTTTTAAAATGTTGTTTTATTGCTGGCCATAGGTGATGTATGCCTGTAATCCCAGCAATTAAGAAGTGAGTTAAGGTCAAATTGGACTATGAGACTTTTTGTTTTCATTGTATATAAAATTTGGTTCCTTCCTGTTAATTTCCTTTCTAATGGCGTCTGACCCCAGAGCTGTTTTCATTAACCTGGTGTTACAGACAGTTGTGAGCTGTCATGTGGGTGTTGAGGATGGAATTGAACTGTGGTTTTCTTCCCCAACCCCCACCCCAGAGAGAGTTTTTCCATGTAACAGCCCTAGATGTCCTGGAACTTGCTCTGTAGACCAGACTGGCCTGGAACTCACAGAGATCCACCTGCCTCTGTCTCCCGAGTGCTGGAACTAAAGGCGTGCGCCACCCCGCCCAGCTTGAACTCAGGTTTTATGGCAGGGCATCCAGTACGCTTAACAGCGGAACCACCAGCTCTCTAGCTGCCTTCCTTGGCTTTTACATGAACATAGAAATGGTACCTACTTCATAGGGATTCTGTGAAGATGGTTAGTCAACACTCTCAGTTACAACCACTGTGTGAACACACTACACACATCCAGTGCACTTCAGTCACACAGTTACAACCACTGTGTGAACACACTACACACATCCAGTGCACTCCAGTCACACAGTTACAACCACTGTGTGAACACACTACACACATCTGAGTGCACTTACTTTACACACATCTGACTGTACTTCAGTCCTCACAGTCTCATGACTTCTAAGGATTGTCATCCAAAGCAAGGTTCCAAGTTAAAAGCTAACAGATCTGAGGTCCAAACTGAGAGTTAGGTTACAGATCATTTATTTGACCATCATGCTGGGTCAGGCCCTTAGCTCACTGATACATATGATGGTCACTATACATATGTATACTCACTACACATCTGTATTCATTAGAGAAAGTCAGAAAGTATGACAAAATAGAATTATAGATACTGTCACCAGTCCAGTCCCTCTGGGGAAGAAACCCTGCCTCAAAATAAGCCAAAAAAAAAAAAAAAGGTACAAATATGGTTCTTACAAACTCTGAGCTCATAATAAGGTAGCATATGCTATAAAATAAAAATAAAAGGTTTTACCTGCCATAATGGTAGTGTGACTAGAACCCACAGATTCCCTTAAGCCCAAACTCCAATCACACAGTATCAGCCACAAAGAGAAACCCTGAATTTTCACGATTGGAAGGTTTCTCACTTCACATGTCTCTTGGTTTTATACTTTCCTTTAAGGACCTCCAGTCTTTCCAGCTGTCTAGACACTGCACTCTGGCCCAGGCTAAGAGTCACATGCCTTTCACCCTGTCTCAAAATACAAAACAGTTCAATAATCCAAACATTTTTACATAAACTAGAATAATACTAATTTACTTCCACATCTTTAAAATAATGAACAAAAAAGGAGCTGGAGAAATAATTCAGTGGCCAAGAGCTGTTCTTGCAGAAGACCAAGGTTCAGTTCCTAGCACCCACATAGCAGGTCACAACTCTCCTTAACTCCGGTTTCCTCTTCTGGCCTCCTGAGGCACTGGCATGCACTCAGCACATATACGTGCATACAACAGGCAAAATATTCATACGTATAAAAGTAATAAATCTTTTTAAAAGAATAAACAAAATGAGCAGAAAAGTTTCTGATACAGAAATAGTTTTCAGTACTGTGGAGACAGTTCCACATGGGCTAGAAGCTCCACGATCAGAATGCCAGCATCCTTTGTAAAGCTTTACTGGCAATTTGAGAATCCTAGAAGGACCCTTAGAGGAGCCCAACGCTGTAGCCTCCCCCAGGTGATATAATGCTGCCTGATAATTGACAGTTGGCAGTCAGCTGCCTTTTCAGGTTTCCAGGGCAACAGAACTAGAAAGTTAATTGAAGGGCATTCTTGTCTTTAGAAAGGGAAGGGAGTTGTGTTAGCCGTGGTCCGCGTCTCTTAAAAGACATCTTCTCACGGAAGGCTCTTCAGACTCCTGAAAACAGTGGCTTCCAAGCTGGCTTCACCTTCTGACTCCAGGTCTTGTAGTTATGACACTGTTTGTCCTCTGACTTTGTCCTCTTTTGGCAGGCCGGATTAAGTATTCGGAACTGGTGTATGAAGCATGTATGAACACATTCGACTGTCTTCCTCTCGCTGCTCTCCTAAACCAGCAGTTTCTCTGTGTACACGGAGGAATGTCACCTGAAATTACTTGTTTAGATGACATAAGGAAAGTAAGTAATCTTTCGTTGATTTCGAAGGGTATGTTGTTAAATTTTTGTTCTTACATATAACATTTACTATCTGAAATTAAAAGAAAATACAATCAGAAGTAGAAAAACAGAACTTATCCATGATCTTATCATTGTTGGATAGCTGTTATTAACACTTTAGATACATCTATTTCTTCTTTCTCTTTTTAAAATTAATTTTTTGTTTTGTTTTGAGACAAGTTTTCTCTGTGTAGCCTTGGCTGTCCTGAAACTTGTTCTGTAGACTAGGCTAGGCTTCAATTTAGAGATCCACCTGCCTCTGTTTTTGTGCTGGGATTAAAGGTGTGCACCACCACCTGGCCTTAAAATTAAATCATTTTTTAAAATTTATTTTATTTGCATTCGTGTTCTTCGGACATGTATGTCTGTGTGAGGGTGTCAGACTTGTAGTTTCAGACAGTTGTGAGCTGCCATGTGGGTGCTGGGAATTGAACCCCAGTCCTCTGGAAGAGCAGTAAGTGCTTTTAGCCACTGAGCCATCTCTCCAACCCCCTAAAATTAAATCTTAATGACTAAAAGTATAGTATTCTTATAGTATAACTGTGGAACATTCTAAAAATTATTTGTTTATTTTAAACAGGATCTCTCTGTAAAAGCCCAGGCTAGTCTTGAACTCAAGACAGTTCTCCTGCCTCATCCACTAAAATGCTAGAATTATTCAGCATATGCCCCCATGCCTAACTTGGAAACTTTAAATTATGTTCCAGTGTAGAAGTTTCTGTCCCTCCTGGGCTTTGGTTTCACAACCATTTAGTTCCAGATAAACATAGAGGCTTATATTAATTATAAACTGTTTGACCTATGGCTCAGGCTTCTTATTGGCTAGCTTACCCATTTCTATTAATCTGTGTATCTCCATGTGGTCTTGACTCACCACTGATACCAGGTATCTTCCTTGGCAGCTACATGGCATCTCTCACTCAACCGTCTCCTTTCTGTATCCCTGTTTGGATTTGTCGCCTGGCTAAATCCTGTCTGTTCATTGACCGAAATAGCTTTATTCATCAACCAATAAGAGAAGCATGTATTCACAGCATACAGAAGGACATCCTCCATCATTCCCCTGTGCAAGGAACATGAACGTGTCCTTGGATAGGTCCTTTAACCTTTGAGTACATTCTCTTTGTAAAATGAGGCAGCTTGAATTAGTGTGGAGCTCTGCCCACTCTGAAATGGCATTGACTTTAACACCTGGGTTGTGTGGCATGGTTGCCCCATTTGCCGTACCCGGTGACTGACTCGAGACCCTGTAACTTCACAGCTGGGGATGAGGAGCAACCCTGTGCACTTGCACTGTAGCTCATGGTGCCGCCTCACCTTCCTGTCCCCTCAGTTCCCACAGACACAAGCTCCCCAGTAAGAGGTCCACCCGTGTGCTGGCTTTTTTGCTGTCTTTTAAGCACCTAGACTTTCTCCTTTAGTAGACTTGCATTCAACGGTTATGAATCGATTGTGATAAAAAAAAGCTCCCCTCTCAGCAGGCGCCCTCTTCATGTGTTTTATCAAATGTAAGTTAATAACAAATATTAAAGTGTTGCCACCGCATAGAATGGAAAGAATAAAAAGCCTTTAGTAAAGAAAACATTTCCATTGGAATAAAGTGAGCAGTGGAAGAGTCGTGGCCAAGTATTCCTGTAACACTCTTTCCCATAGAAAACTGAAACTAGCGTTAGATTAGTCTCCAGGAGTTTGTGGCAGCTGATTTCACATTTGAGTTGGATGAATGCTGCACTGGATTAGCACAGAAGGAGAGGCCTCTTTCTACAGGATTCTCAGATGATAGAGAAAGGAGAGTTATGAACTTTTGTTACAGAACGCTCATTTTCTCACAGGATAATCCTTCTGGACTCACTGCCTCATCTCTGAGGCATTTCCGTAAGTAGAAGGGGACTTTTGACCTGCCTGCTTTCTGATTTTTTTCCCCCTTTTGGCTCTGTGTGTCTTCTAGTTAGATAGGTTTGCCGAACCCCCTGCTTTTGGGCCAGTGTGTGACCTGCTCTGGTCTGATCCCTTAGAGGAGTATGGCAGTGAGAAGACTCTGGAGCACTATACCCACAACACTGTCCGCGGCTGCTCCTACTTCTTCAGGTAAGCTGATCCTCAAAGGCGAAGGCGATGGAACAAGTGGGGATTTTCATTTTTAAACTTTATTTCTACTGCTTTTAATTATGTATGTGTGTATGTCTGTGGATATATGCACCTGAGTACAGATACCTGTAGAGAGAGGTTGAGGCATAAGAGCTCCTAGAGCTGGGATAATAGGCAGTTGTGAACCACCAGTGTGGGTGCTGCAAACTAACTTGGGTCTTCTGCAGGAGGAGTATACACTCTTAACCAGTGATCCACTTTCTGACCTTAAATATTTTTAAAAAGTGTCGCACCTGCTGTGCGGCCTGCATCCGAGAATGTAGCGAGGTGGTAGGGATAGATGACACAGAGACCGGTCGGTTGCTTTAAGAAAACTTTATCTTTCCCAAGTCAGCTTAGGAGGAGACCCCAGTCCGCTTAGGAGAGCTCTCAGGAGAAGTCTTAGGAGAAAATCTCAGGAGAAGTCTCAGGAGAAGTCTCTCCAAGAAAAAAGAGCTTCCCTTTTTAAGGACTTTTGCCATCCATTTACATACCATTCTTTCCACTTCTCACCCTCCTGGCTGGTGGTTTAATCTCCGGTCCCAGAATCGGGGAGACACCACAGGGGGCAGGGACAGGAAGAGGCATCTAGCCCTAGGGGGTGTGACAGTCATGGTATTTCAGTGAGCAAGCCCTTATCTGAGCCCTATGAAGCTTTAAAGCACTGAATTGTTTCCAGTAATTGCTCCCAGGCCGAAGGGGAAGTGGGTTTCTGCTCAAGGTCTGGTGTCCCCACAATTCACCCCTTTTTATTTTTAAATGAGGCACTCCTGTCTTAGGTCAAGTAGGGTCACCCTCCCTGGCCCGTCTTTGGGGGACCTTGAACCCCTGTTAGGTGGGAGTGGGTCTTCCCCACAAGTTGCCCGTCATAAGAGCGCCCCAACTTTAAAATCATTTGTAATAAGGCTTTATGGCTATCGGGATTGCCATGGGCTAAGGCACTTTGAACTCAGCATGAAGCCAGAATGCCTACTGCCACTGTTACCATTCCTAGGACCCCCACTGACATAGCGCCTCTCTGTCACCTGCCCATCCCCCGATCTGGGCCTTAGCATTCTACCACCAGCCTTTCTTTGCTACAAGGGTGATTTATAGTTACAATTTGAAGGTCAAAACAGTGATAAAGTTTACAATCATTTTAAGATCTACTTAGGAAAGCATTAGAGAGTGCACTTGCACAGATACATTAGGTACAATCATTGATGTTACACATGTAGCATTATAAAAAATATGAACAAGAGGCTTGTTGCACTATTTACAGAGTACCAATTTGTTCCTGTGGTGATGTAGTCTGTCGATTTAATGTCAGTAGTATTTTTAAAAAGATTTTGTATGTAAGTGTTGTGTCTGCATGTCCGTCTGTGTACTGCCTGTGTGCCTGGTGTCCTCTGAGGTCAGAAGAAGGTATTAGATCCCCTAGAAATGTGGTTGTGGGGCTGGCAGCCAGATGTGTGCTAAAAACTGAACCCAGGTCCTCTGAAAGAGCAGGAATTGTTCTTACCCACTGAATCATCTTTCTAGGCCAGCCTTTATGGAATTAATTTCTTTTTGTTGGGGGGGTGGGTCTCTGTATAGCCTTGGCTATCTTAGAACTCACTCTGTAGACTAGGCTGGCCTCCTCACAGAGATCTACCTGCCTCTGCCTCCTGACTGCTGGGATTAAAGGCATGCACCACCACCACCCAGCATGAAATTATTCTCAAGTGGTTCAGGTCTTAACCATGTAGTATAGAGATTTCTGTTTGATCTCAATCATTCTGCTCTTATTTCTCTCTCTTTCTTTTTTTAATGTCTCCCTCACCTCTTCCTTTTTGGTGCTTGAGATCAAACCCAGGGCCTCACAGGTTTTGGGTGAGCACTTGTTCATTTCCTTAAAAGCAAAAGCATAATGCTTTCTTAGACATTAGACCATAAGAAGTGTATATAGTGAACACAGCTGCCTTCCAATGTCTTGATGTTATCAGCTTTAAATGATCTATTATTTGTTCCTGATTATCATCTAGACACTGCCTAAAGATTTTATGTCTCCCCCCCCCCCGTGTGTGTGTGTGTACCACGGGGGGGGGGGGGTCCTGGTGCCTGTGGAGACAAGAAGGCATCAGATTCCCTGGAGCTGGAGTTACAGACAATTATGCGCCATCTGTGGGGACTGCAAACCAAACTTGGGTCGTCTGCAAGGACAGGAAGTATTTTTTACCCCTGAGTGTTTCTAGATAATGAGTGGGCATAGTAGCATATACCTTTAACACCAGTGCTTGAGAGACAGAGACATGCAGATCTCTGGGAGTTAGAGTGTGATCTACATAGTGAGTACCACACCAGCCAAGAACTACATAGAGGGACCCTGTCTCAAAAAAAAAAAATAAGTAGGTAACTTTACTTTTTCCACAGAGATTCTGATTCAAAAGATCTGGGCCAGGGGATCCTATTATATATTGAAAAGCTACTCACATTTTGGAACTTCTGATATAGACAAAAATAAAAAATGAACAGAACATTGTGATCCACTGTGATCTAAGCCTAGCATTTCCTGGAAGTTAGCTATTGTTCTAAAGCTCACATGGGAACTTTTGATGTGGTTTGCCAAGCAAAAAATAGAAAAGAGAAGAAAATAGGGAAGTTTGAAATGTAAATTATTTTTAATTCCAGTGTTTTATCATAACAAATAATGCATTTTTAGTTCCCTAAAACAGTTTCTGATTGGCTGAGATAATACATTAATAAAATGAAGTAAGCATACAAAAAAAGAAAACTTAATTCATTTGCCTTTATACATTTTTTTGAGACAATGTTTCTCTATGTAGCCTTAGCTGTCCTGGAACTCACTCTGTAGACCAGGCTGTTCGAACTCACAGAGATCTGCCTGCTTCTGCCTCCCGAGTGCTGGGCACCTTTAAACAATTTAAAAATAATTTTTTGTATTCTTCTCTGCCAACCTTTCTAGTGACTTATTTAGTGAAACAATTGAACGTTTCCTTTTTTTTTTTTTTTTTGACATTGCTTAAGAACTTGGCATTGTTGGCTAAATGTCATTTGGTACAGTTCCTGTGGTCACTCACCAGCACCTCTTATACTATATAGGCCTTCCACCCAGAAATCCTCCTTCTGAAACGCAGCTTGGGAATTTCAGTGAATCCTCACACTCACCTGAGTTCATGGTTACCCAGTCAATCCTCATGGAGCTCCTGCAGACATTCGTGGACACTCACTGTGCAGAACAACAGAAAATGTCCCAGTCACCCCTTACAGGCTTGCAGCTCAAGTTAGAAGTCGTGCTCTGGCTTTTTTCCAATCTTCATTTCTTCTGTTTTATATGTATGAGTGTTTACTTACATGTATGTTTGTGCACCATGTCTGCCTGGTGTCTATGGGGGCCAGAAGAGGGCATCAGATCCCCTGCAACTGGAAGTATGGATGTGGGTGCTGAGAATCAAATCCAGGTCTTCTGCAAGTACAGGAGGTTCTCTCAATCACTGAACTCTCTCCAGCCCTGATCTTGCATTCTGTTACTGTTTTAGCACTTTTTATCAGCCATTTATTTCAGGGTTGACAGTGAGTGGTACTTAAGCATAGTGCCAAGGTGCTGCCCAGTGTTTTTGAGCACAAGTGAGCTATAATGTCACTTACAGAGAAAATAGGTCTGTGCTAGATTTGTCAGGAATGAGTTGTGTCACTATGAGTTCAAAGCTAATAACTCCATAGTATATTTATATAAAATGTCCTTATACAGGGAGAACATCTGAAACACATAAGTGGTTGATGGAAAATATTGTGAATCTTAAAGTCCATATAGCACATAGGAACAATGCCTCATGGCATGACTCCTCGATATTAGGCTTTACCCGGATTTTGCAACCTCCTACCTCATTCCTAGGGCCTCCATGTACTTCATAGTCTTGAGTGGCTGACAGATCATTGTTTCTGTGGCAGTCAAGGGCAGGGAGTTCTTGTTTTGCAATGGTGATAATGTTGATCTGAAAATTAAACATTGAGCATAGTGAAAAACAAAGTTGCCCCCTTTTTTTCAGACAGGATCCCATGCATGGCCTCAAACTTGCTATGTAGGAAAAGATACCATGAACTTGTGATTCTTCTCTTTCACCTTCAAAGTACTGGAATTACAAGTGTGTGTAGCATCCCTAGTATATGGCTAAGGGGTTTGAACCCAGGACTCTGTATATGCTAGGCAAGCACTGTCCCAATCAGGAAACAAATATTTAAAAAAAGGTAAGTAATTAATATCTGTACATTCTCCAGATAATTTTATATTCTCTAGTACTTCCTATTTGTTGTCTAGATAAGTAAAATAGACTATTTTAGGAGTATATGTGGATATTATTAGAATGTGGTGGTCTAGGGCTGAAGAGGTGGTTCAGCAGTTAAGAACACTGGCTGCTCTTCCAGAGGTCCTGAGTTCAATTCCCAGCAGCACATGGAAACTTGCAACCATCCATAGTGGGATCCCATGCCCTCTTCTGTCATGTAGGCATACATGCAAGTAAAGCACTCATATACATAAAATACTCAAATCTTTAAAAAAGAATGTGGTGGTCTATAATATTTTTATCTACTCCTAAAATAGCCGTGCATAGTATTATCTTGGCGTTGCTATTACATATAAAGCTGTAAGTGGATTCTTTTACTTTTATAAAGGTTTGATGATTAAAGAAGGTCTACACTCATTTTGTAGCACTTACTGCATACAAATACATGCACACATGCTGTTGTGGTATGTTTTCATATCAAAGTATCAAGAAAAGTTTTGATTGTATTGTTAGTTTTAAAGTTGTATCATTAGTGTTAAGATAAAATAAATTAAAAGATGGAGAAACTGTTTCTAGTCTAAAGTATCATCAGATTTGATAGTAATATGTATTATTGAAATGGGAATCACTGGTTTCTGAGTTTTTAATAAAAGTTCAGTGGTGGGCTGGTGAGATGGCTCTGTAGTTCAGAGCACTGACTGTTCTTCCAGAGGTCCTGGGTTCAGTTCCCAGCACCCACATGGTGGCTCATAATTGTACATCCAGCTTCAGGGTATCTGCCACCCTCCTTTGGCCTCTGCAGGCACCAGACTCTCATGTGATACACATACAAGCAGGCAAAACTCTCATACACATAAAATAAATCTTTAAAAATTCAGTAGTCTGTAGTTTCTGTAGTCTTAAAACAACTCAGATTGGGTTTTCCCTTTACTCCTATTAAAGCATAGCTGCTGTAATATTGGACTTGTGTGTTCTCATTTTCTTTTTCAGTTACCCTGCGGTTTGTGAATTTTTACAGAACAACAATTTATTATCAATAATCAGAGCCCATGAAGCCCAGGATGCTGGGTAAGTTGCACTGAAACTCTCACATATACCTGCAGAAATTTTAGTTTAGTGTAAAGATGCATGAACTCGACTGGGCGTTGGCGGCGCACGCCTTTAATCCCAGCACTCGGGAGGCAGAGGCAGGCGGATCTCTGTGAGTTTGAGGCAGCCTGGTCTACAGAGCGAGTTCCAGGACAGCCTCCAGAACAATACAGAGAAACCTTGTCTCAAAAAACAAACAAAAAAAGGTACAGGAGCTCTCCTCTCTTTTCCAGGTACCGAATGTATAGGAAGAGCCAAGCAACGGGCTTTCCATCACTCATTACAATTTTCTCTGCCCCTAATTACCTCGATGTTTATAACAATAAAGGTAAAGAAGCCCAGCAATTTGAATGTGAATTTGTTAGTAACTGTGAGCTCTAGTTTAACTTTGTGTTTATCTTTATTATTGTGTTTACTTATCTATTTTTATTTTTTGGCTCTGTGGATTGAACCCAAGGCCGTGTATCTGGAAAGCACTCACTCTACACTGGGCTGTATACTGAACACCTGTTTTTAAAAGTACAAAATTTCAGTCAGATAAAAGGTCGTGGGTAAGGGATATGGCTCTGTGGTAAAGCATATGTTTCGCTTGGAAAAGCGCTTAGCTTCAGTTTCCTTATCTGACTCTGCTCTTCCTCCACAGACCTTGACATTTCCCCTCTCTCACCCCACCCCTCTCCTCGTTTGTTTTGTGTCCAAACTGGGTTTGGCTATGTAGTTTAGGTTGGTTTTGAACTTGGGGTCTTCATGCTTCAGTCTCCCAAGTGATGGGTTACAGGCATGCACTACTATTTCTATATGAAGAGATCTTACTGGAACAAAGGTCAATACATTTAGAGTGTGAGCTACTGCTTGGTCTTCATCTCCTAAGAGATTGGATCTGTAGCCTGTAGTGGTCATAGTAGATAGTATGACTGAGTCAACATGTAAAACTAATAAATAACTTCAGAGTTATGTTAGAACAGTTAACATAAGTCTGTAATATTACCTCAAAAAAGTCACCATTTGTAGCCGGATGTTGGTGGCACATGCCTTTAATTCCAGCACTCGGGAGGCAAAGTTTGTCAGTTTGAGGCCAGCCTGATCTATGGAGCCAGTTCCAGGACAGGCTCCAAAATAATACAGAGAAACCCTGTCTCGAAAAACAAAAACAAAAAACAAAGTCACCATTTGTTTTGTTTGTTTGATATTTTAAAATGGAGTCTCACTGTATGGCCCAGGCCAGCATCAAACTCACCACCCTGCTTTGGCCTCCCCAGTGCTGGGATTTAGACGTCTATCATTATTCATGGCTCCTCATTTGTTGTTTCTTTGTTTGTTTGTTTTTGTTTTGTCTTCAAGACAGAGTTTCTCTGAGTACCCCTGGCTGTCCTAGAACTCACTCTGTAGACCATGGTGGCCTCAAACTCAGAAATCTGTCTGCCTCTGCCTCCTGAGTGCTGGGACTAAGGGCACATGCCACCACCCCAGACCTTCATATACCTTTTCCTTATAATTTCACTGATGGACATTTCTAATTAGAAGTGAGTTTGACCCTCTTTTTAAAATGTCTTACATTTACTTATTACTTTTCATGTTTATGTGTGTTCATTTGCGTGGGCTCCTGTGTGAAGGAGACAGGTGGATCTCTGAATTTAGGGCCAGACTGGTCTACACCCCCCACCTCCCATGTGCTCCTTAGAGGGGGTAAAGCCTACCCTAGGAAGTCTACCAAGTCTGTCCCATCATCTCATTGAGGCAGGACCAAGGCACCTTTCCACTCCCCACCCCCCTGTGTCTAGGCTGAGCAAGGTGTCTCTCCATATAGAATGGGCTCCATTAAGTCAGTTTGTACATTAGAGTTAGATCCTGAACCCATTTCCAGTGGCCTCATATATTGTCCCTGCCGCACCATTGTCACCTATATTAAGGGAGTCTAGTTTGGTCTTACTCAGGTTCCCCATTTGTCATACCAGAGTCAATGATCTCTCACTAGCTCAGGTCAACTGATTCTGTGGTTTTCCCCATCTTGGTCTTGAGTCCTTTGTTCTTATTATTGTTCCTCCCTCACTTCGATTGTACTCCAGAAGCTTGGCCCAATGATTAGGATTTCTGCATTTGCTTCTGTTTCTGGAAGAGGGTTCTAACTTCTCTGGGGTTGTGGATTGTAGGCTGGGTATCTTTTGCTTTGTGTCTGGTGACACATACTATATATAGTGAGTACATGCTATGTTTGTCTTTCAGGGTCTAGGTTGCCTCACTCTGGATGGTTTTTTCCTAGTTCTTTCTATTGTTGAATTTTGTTGATTTGGATTTTCAAGACAGGGTTTCTCTGTGTAACAGTCCTGACTGTCCTGGAACTCATTTTGTAGACCAGGCTGGCCTTGAACTCGCAGAGATCTGCCTACCTCTGCCTCTGCCTCCCAAGTGCTGGACTCAAAAGTGCCACCACCACCACTACCCTGCAGAAACTGGTATTTTTAAAACCCACTGTGAGGACTGTATACTCTACCCTTAAACATTAATTAGAAATTGTTCCATGTTTACCAATTTATAGCCCCCTCCCACTGTGAATTGATAAATTCCTGGAGAGTTTATGAGAAACTTTGACTGTGGTTCATGACTAGCTAAATAGTCTATGTCCATTCAATGGGTGACATTTGCCCCTAGAGGCATGCTGTGGTTACAACTGTTTGGCCAGTAAATGGGAATTATGGTAAGTTTTTCTTTGTTGAACCTTAGGTGTATTTAATAGCTAGTTAGTGTACAGCAAACCTTTGGTGTTTCAGAGCACATCGTCTTCCGTGCTTTGATCATGTGAACTCTTCAGGTAACTTTGTCCTTTTTAATAATCCCTAAGAGAATGAACCCTGCAGAATTCTTTAAACTTGTCAAGCCATCTTGACCCTGTCCTGAATGTACAAATGGAAAATAAGTTATTGAAAAGTCTGTAATCAGTTCACAGCTGTTTTTCTGTGCCCAACTGTCTTGCTTTTTACTTTTTAGCTGCAGTGTTGAAATATGAAAACAATGTTATGAACATCAGGCAGTTTAACTGCTCTCCACACCCCTACTGGCTCCCAAATTTCATGGATGTTTTCACGTGGTCTTTGCCTTTCGTTGGAGAAAAAGGTAAGAGAACCCCAGTGTGCATCTAAGCACCAATAGCTCTGTCCTGACCAGCCACAAAACACCTTTACATTCCCAAAGTTTATCAGAAGTGTGTGCTGACTTTGTTCTCTACAAAGATTTTGTGTAGGGGGCAGAGGACAGCTTGTGAAGCTGGTTCTCTCCTCTCACCTTTACGTGAGTTTCAAAGATTGAATTCTGCTCACCAGGTTTGCACAGAACACCTGGATTCACTGAGCCCTCTACACAGATTTTTAAATGACATTAGTCTGTTCTTAAATATTCGTCTATTGCATTTTCCTTATCCAAAATACCATTTAAAGCAACTGTTCTGTATGATCATGATATTAAAGTAATGTGACCACTATTCTGTTTCTTTATGAATGATCAGTGCTAAAGAGATTTAGACAGGATTTGTTTAATTAGAGTTTTATATGTACAGCTGCACAAGTGCATGGTACAGACATGAAACAGTTACACAAGTGAGCAGTGTAGACATGAAACAGTTACACAAGTGAGCAGTGTAGACATGAAACACAGTTACACAAGTGAGCAGTGTAGACATGAAACACAGTTACACAAGTGAGCAGTGTAGACATGAAACACAGTTACACAAGTGAGCAGTGTAGACATGAAACAGTTACACAAGTGAGCAGTGTAGACATAAAAGACAGTTACACAAGTGAGCAGTGTAGACATGAAACAGTTACACAAGTGAGCAGTGTAGACATGAAACACAGTTACACAAGTGAGCAGTGTAGACATGAAACACAGTTACACAAGTGAGCAGTGTAGACATGAAACACAGTTACACAAGTGAGCAGTGTAGACATGAAACAGTTACACAAGTGAGCAGTGTAGACATGAAACACAGTTACACAAGTGAGCAGTGTAGACATGAAACACAGTTACACAAGTGAGAAGTGTAGACATGAAACACAGTTACACAAGTGAGCAGTGTAGACATGAAACAGTTACACAAGTGAGCAGTGTAGACATGAAACAGTTACACAAGTGAGCAGTGTAGACATGAAACAGTTACACAAGTGAGCAGTGCAAACATAAAACAAGTCTGTTGGATGTACGCCTGTTATAACTTCTTTGTAAAATTGGAAGGAATTTTATGTGCAAGCCTGAGCCCAAGGTTCTGAACAGTCATCTAATAAAATCAAGTAATTCTGTGATAGAATTCTCAAATTCTCATCTAACCAGAACAAGTATGGACTAAGCTCTCACTGAACCTGAAGCTCTGCCTTTATAGCTATTTATGATATGATAATTCATTTCTGTCAGTGTTTACTTAGTGCATTCTTGCTTATGTACCTTTGGAAGTGCTCTACTAACCGTGTGCATTTTACATTATTTTGTTACACAGTCACAGAGATGTTGGTCAATATTCTCAACATATGCTCTGATGATGAGCTGATGTCAGACGATGAAGCGGAAGGTAAGCATCTTACTCAAACAGGAAACTAATGAGCTTTGATTGGGATTTCATTTACTTTCAGGTCTTTTTTTGGTCTTAACTAGAAAAGAATTATGTTCATTGTAGAAAAAGTTTGATAACTGTAGGAAACCATAAATAGGAAGAAAATAGTTACTATTATTCTGTCATCTCAGATTTCTGCTAATGTCTTTGTCTTTGCGTAGAATTTTTCTTCTCATTTTTTGTCACTTACAAAAATGAGGTGACATGATGGTGCAATGTCTTCATCTCTAGTTCTCATTTTCCTTTGTCGTCCAGTTTCTCATAGTTACATAGTTGTCTGTGTTCATTCATTGTGCTAAGTGATCACATGCTGCTGGATATTAGGGTTTTCCCCCTCAACTTGAGCTTTTAAAACTACAATTTTTTGTCAGGCAGTGGTGGCGCACGCCTTTGATACCAGCACTCAGGAGGCAGAGGCAGGCAGAACTCTGAGTTGAAGACCAGCCTGGTCTTCAGAGCAAGTTCCATGACAGCAAGGGCTACACAGAGAAAACTTGTCAGAGGAAAAAAATAATTCAAATTCTTTTAGATAAATTTTTGCACATTCTATCAACAATCAGTCTTTGTTATATGTTTGATGTGTGCCAAATACTGTTTATGCCTTTGTTCTTAATAAATTTATTGTATTATAAGGGAGACAAACAAGAAATATAATGTAGATACTTATACATGGTATAGAAGTAATGCAATATTAGAAAATCTGAGAGTAACATTTTCTTCTTTATAGGTTAAATGTCTGGAAACTGCATGTGCATGTCAGTTAGTACTAATTTGTATCTCTGTGTGTGATACATAGTGAACTCACATGGTTTTTCCAGTACTGTACACACACACACACACACACACACACACACTTGCATTGTCAAGACTAGAACCCAGTCATTGTGCAAACAAGCACTTAACAGAGCCATAGCCCCAGCCCTAATTTTTAATTTGTTCTTTTTCGTCCCAAACAAAATATTTTTATTAAAATTTATACTTTAGGATAACTAATAAGCACATTCTCTTGTGTTTATTGACTGTTTTTCTGTTTTGTGAGTGTCAATGTTTCTAGTTCTGCTTTGCTTCCCATATTCATGTGTAAGAGATCTTTGTATTGTGTCTTTGTACAGTTATTTGTTAGCTAAGTGCTTTTCCCCTGATTTCTATCACTATGGATTAGTTTGTTGCCTTTAGACGAATTGTTTTAACTAATTTGTAGCCAGGTGCTTCCAGTGTGTTGCCAGTGGTTTGATCAGAAAGACAGGCTCTCACTCTTCTGAGGGTACAGGAGATTCTGGAAATGCAGCCATTTGATCACAAACCTCCAGTTCACATCCTGTAGACCTGTGCCACAGCAATTCACTTAACTGTTACATAAAATATTGGATGGTATAGAATACAGAGCTCCCGTGGGGAATCTAGAGGAGATCCCAAGCATATTTTTATTAGGTTCTAGGTGCAAGGTTGTGAGTAGATGGAATAGAGCTTGTGTGAGTTCATTTTCTGAATTGGAGGTTGTTGAATGGAGCCAGACCTTTTGAGAAAGTTTAGAAGATTTAAAAAGAACTTAAGTTAGGGAAGGCGAAATTGTTTTAAAAAATAAATGGATCTAATTAAGTTCATATGCAAGTCTAATTAGAAATGTAAATGACTATAAACTCCATGATATGCACTAAGAACTTGTTGAGCTGGTGAGGTGGCTTGCTGGTAAAGGGCCTTGCTAAGAGGCCTGATGATGTGAGCGCCATCCTAGGACCTACATGGCAGAAGAGAACTAGTTCCCGAAAGTCACTCTCTGACTTCCACACAGGGCTGTGTGGTGTGCAGTTGGTGCTCTCTTCTAGGCTCTGGGGATCTGACTCAGGAAGTCCAGCCTTGTGGCAAGAGCCCTTACCCACGGAGCCCATCTCACTACTCATAACTTGGGTTTTAAATAAGTAATCCAATCTAAGGGTTTCTGCTTCAGCCATGCCTGTTAAGACCGCTGGAAAAGCTAGTTGGTTTTTTGAAACGGTTCCTTTGTGTAGCCTTGGTCATCCTGGACCAGGCTGGCCTCAAACTCGGAGATCCACCTGCCTCAGCCTCCCAAGTGCTGGGATTAAAGGTATTCACCACCACCGCCTGGCTTGAATAGTTTTAAATCCATATGAGAAGAAAAAATAGTAAAGAATTACAAGATAAGAATAGAAAAATGCACTGGGCGGTGGTGGCACATGCCTTTAATCCCAGCACTCGGGATGCAGAGGCAGGCGGATCTCTGTGAGTTCGAGGCCGGGCTGGACCGACAGCCTCCAAAAACAATACAGAGAAACTCTGTCTCGTAAAAACCAAAAAAAAAAAGAAAAAGAAGAAGAATAGAAAAATGCAGACAGGTAAACCTGTGTTTGAGACCATTTCTTTCTTGAGAACACTCATGAATTTCAAAGGAGGGGTAAAAAGTTTTTATTGCCTTGTGTAGCTAAGCTAAAAAAAAATAAAATAAAAATAAATGGGTTTTAGGACTTCCCAAAGAGGATGTACATGATCATACGTTTCTACTCGTTAGTTTAGGACCTTGAAGAAGGAATCTGCAAGAGAAAGGATAAACTAGAAGGACACATACTTTTCTAAGCTATATCTCGAGGTTCAGCAGTAAGAAAATAGTTTGTTAGCTAGGCAGTGGTGGCACACACTGTAGGCTCAGCTTGGGAGGCAGAAGCAGGTAGATCTCTAGGTTCAAGGCCAGCCTGGTCTACAGAGTGAATTCCAGGACAGCAAGAGCCCTGTTTCAAAAATCAAAAAACAAAAAGAAAGAAGTTTGTTATGTAACTTTTAAGTTACAGAAAAAATGGAATGGAGACCAATAACTAGAAGAAGAGAATGTTCATGTGGTCACACTTTAAGAAAGCAGGTTTGTTGATAAAGCGCAAAGGCTGGAGAGCAGCAGAAGCACCACCGTCCTAGGGTGACTATTGCTGTGATGAAACAGGACCAAAGAAACAAGGGGGGGGGGGGGGGAAAGGGCGCATTCAGCCTGTGCTTCCAAGTCCCGGTTCATTGTCAGGAACCTGGAGGCAGAAACTGATGCAGAGGCCATGGAGAGGAGCTGCTTACTGACTTACTCCTTAAAGCTTGCTCCGCCTGCTTTCCTATAGAACCCAGGACCACCAGCCCAGGGTGGCACCACCCACAATAGTCTGGGTCCTCCCCCCATCAATCACTAAGAAAATGCCCCACTGGTTTTCTTACAGCCCAATCTGATAGAGGCATTTTCCTACTTGAGTCTCCTTCCTCCCTGAGGACTCTAGCTTGTGTCAAGTTGACGTTCCACCAGCCAGTGCAACTGACCTCTTGATAACTTGACACACAAACACATCACTTTCAATTAGAACCTTTTCTTTCTCATTCCCAAGATGGAATATCAACATCACAATATAAAACATAGCTTTAAAAATCTCACAGTATTTATAAATTCAAATGCAATAAAACTAAAGTCTCTTTAAAATACCCAATCTCTCTAAAAATCCAAATTATCTTTCAAAAGTTCAAAGTCTTTCAGCTGTAGGCTCCTGTAAAAATCAAAACTAAATTAAATACCTTCTGGCTTCAAGACAGAAGAACCAGGGCACAGTCATAATCTGAACCAAGCAAGACCAAACTCCAACAGTATAAATAACCCAACACCCAGCGTCTGGGATTCACTCATGATCTGGGCTCCTCCAAAGGGCTCGGGTCACTTCTCAACTCTGGCCTCTGCAGCAAACACAACTTGGTCTTCTAAGCTCTGCCAGACTCTGCTCTGCTGCTGCTGCTCTTCGTGGTCACCCCATGGTACTTGCATCTCAAACACTGGGCTCTTCTGCTGCAACTGGGCTGCACTTTCACCAATGGCCTCTCCTAGGCTCTTTTCATGGTGCCAAGCCTCAAGTTTTCTTCATGACCCCTTCAGTTCTGGGCTTTCAACTGCCACGGAGGCTGCACCTTCACCAATGGGCTCTCCTGGTCTCTCACAGTGCCAAGTCCCAGCTGCTCTCCATGATCCCTTTCTGCCTTCAAAACCAGTACCACCTGGGCGACGCTTACACTACCAAGTTTGACCGCCAGTGCCAGGTCCAACCTTGTCCGTGTTTGGAACACAACTCCTGTGTGCTGACTCTCAGGAAACACTTCCCGCAAGATTTCATCTCAGTGATGATGGTCTCTCTGTCTCTTTAGTTTTTCCAGACAGGATTTCTTGTGTAGCCTGGCTGCCCTGGAACTAGCTCTGTAGACCCAACTGGCCTCAAACTAACAAAGGTCTTCCTGCCTCTGTCTCCTGAGTGCTGGGATTAAAGGGGTGCACCACCAGTGCCGGGCTTTGCTGGTCTATTATTAATCACAGCTGATTCTTCTATCCCAGCTGACCAGCATCAATTGTCCTGGTAACACAAAGGTTTTACTTTAGTGTTTCTGGTCTCTTGATAATCACAGCTGATTCTTCAGTTCCAGCTGACCAGCCGTCATAGATTTACAACACAAAGGCCTGGTAGAGTCTTCGCTTCCCTCTGCAATGTCACAAGCCAGGCCGCCATCCTCTCCTCTGCTCTCAACATTCTTATCTTCCAAGCTCCTACAGGACATCTCACTGAGATCTCAACACTCAATGGCTTTTCTAGCCCAACGTTCCAAAGTCCTTCTACAATCTTCCTAAAAACATGGTCAGGTCTGTCACAGCAATATCCCACTATTCTGGTACCACCTTGTCTCAGAGTTGTAATTGCTGTGAGGAAATACCAGGACCAAAGAAACTTGGGGAGGAAAGGGTTTATTCAGCCTATGCTTCCGCATCACAGTTCACCATCAAAGGAAGTGAGGACAGGAGCTAACGCAGGGCAGAAACCTGCAGAGGCCATGGAGGAGTGCTGAGTGCTGCTTACTGGCCTGCTCAGCCTGCTTTCTAATGGAACCTAGGACCACCAACCCAGGGATGGCACCACCCACAATAGGCAGGGCTCTTC